GGGGGTTAGGGCTTTTTTTCAGAAAAAATGGGCAGAAACTCGTTTTTTTGCAGTTTTGTACCCAGCTCTCCCAGCTCACACCCAGCTCACCCAGCTCTGCCCTGCCTTTGGCTTCAAGCAGAAGATAATGTCACCATTATCTTTGGCTTGAAGCCAAAGGGTTGGATTGACAAATCTCTTATGTCCAATGATAGTTCAGGATCCATTGGTAGAAATTTTATCAAGAACAAACCACAGAATAAGTTACTTCAGTTTGATTGAACCAAGTTCAAAGCATTTTTGGAGATCTTCAGGCAATGTGGTAATTGAAAGTGTATAAAAAACTAATCTTTTTCTTTATGTATCACTTTCTCATAAAATGTTTTAGAAATCACAAAAAACAGCTTCAGAAATGGATTCTATGAATAATTTTAGACTATTCCACCAGCGGTGGGCCGCTACGCTACGCTACGCTTTTGGCCCAAAAAGCGTAGCGTAGCGGCGCTTTTTTTGCGCCAAAAATTCGTAGTGTTAGCGCTTTTGTAGCGCATTTTCGCTACGCTACGCTGCGCTACAGCGCTTTTAGCGGAAAAAGCGGCTAAAAACCGCTAAAAACCGCTGTAGCGCAGCGTAGTGGGCCCTTTTTTGCGGCCCACACGCGTAGCGTTAGCGGTGTCGTGGCGGAATTCCGCTACGCTACGCTTAACGCTAACGGGAATTCCGCTACGTTACGCTACACTAACCGCTACGGTTAGTGTAGCGGCCCACCGTTGATTCCACCACTGGATGCATCCTTGGAACCCACACAAATGAAAAGTTACACCCCTGCAAACCCATATCACAAGGCCATCACACAGTCGAATTGTACATGTCACAAACCTCAATTCACCTCCCAGTTATGCTTATATACAGCACATAGTATCCAAGTCCTTTAATATCAGCCCATGTGATGCCAAGAGCTTGACGTTTCTAGCTACACAAGGTGCAAAGCTAAGAAAAATGGTATAGAAGTGTGGGTAACACTTGGAATTGGTAGGTTTTAATTTGAAAGAAAAGAAATAATATAAACCATTAAGTATTTATAAAAGGAGGGGCCTGAGTTACAGGGGCTTTTATGGGGCTCTCCAATGAATCAAGACCTTTTCAACAGGTGTATTTTTGATGTGCCTGATGATCTGGTCCTTTATAATAAAAAGGGGCTTGGAAAAACGACTCCCAAATTTTAGTCAATGACTTGACCCATTTTCCCTTTGACATCGCGAGGACCGTCTCTGGACCAACTCTGGACCAGAAATTTGGTCCAGGGAGTTGTTGCACCAATATTTTTTTTTTACATGGGAGTCGTCCACCCATTTTGCAATTCGATTTTTTTTATTTTTTTTGGGGGTCGTTGACCCAATATTTAGGAGTCGTCGACCCCAATAATCATCTTTTTTTTCCTTGCTTTTCTGTTTTTTTTTTTTTTTTTTGCCTGGGAGTCGTCAGGCTAATGTCCCCAGACGGAAGGGAAGTCAATGGCCCAATCGTCCAAACTGACGACTGGGCTTTTTTTGTCTTGCAGGAGTCGTCAACCAATCCCTAGGAGTCGGCTGCAAGGTTTCTTCTCCCACGCAGGAGTCGCCGCTCCAAACCCCCATATCCTCCGGACCTCCCCTCCTCCCATATCCACTCCCCCCACCGGCTCCCCACCCACCCAACCATGTCCAACCCCACTGAGGCGCTTGCACCACCAAAAGGACGCCTCCAACAGGCTCCAGCGCCCAAATGACGCCACCAAGGTTCCTGCAGCCAAGGCTGCCGCTGAGGGGCTCCCAAGTCCCCGCCAAGGCTGCTGCCAACGGGCCACAGCCAAGGACACCTCTGACAGGCCACAGCCGGAACAGCCGGTGGGTGTTGTCATTGGAGTCAGAGTCGCCGCAGGAGCCACAGCAGTCATTGCGCGGGGGACAGGAGTCACCGCTGTGGAACTCCAACGGTGCTGGCCGGTGGCAGTTGGTTGAGGGGAAGGTGCTGAGAAGCTGCCCTCGTCGTAGGCCCGGATAAGAGGTGTGATCAAAACAGGAAAGGTGAGGTTGGATTTGTTGAGAAGACAGCAGAATTGAGTTCTGCAGGCGGTGGTGTGGTTTGAGTTTGAAGATCTGAATGGAGGTTTGAGATGAGAAGAGCTCAGAAGATCAGGATCAATAAGATTTCAATAAGATTTGATGGGTCTTTCTTGGATCAGAACAGAATGCCATGCCTCCCCATCATCTCAGTTCAAACTGAACTTTGACTCTGGGGAGTGACATGTCACAGACATGTCATCAGATCCCTAACTACACACAACTCAACCAGAAAACAAAGACAACACAACACAACACACACAACACAACCAGAAAACAAAGACAACACAACACAACACAACAAAAGAACAAAAGAAGAACACAGAATAGAACAAACAAACAAGATCAGAATAAACCAACATAAATGAAACTATGTCTTAGGACCAAGAAATAAGAAACAACACTGTCTTCTGAGTAAATGATTTGAAAAAGATAAGTAAGAATAATAAAATGATAAAAAATAAGGGCCTTAATAAAAAAACACGGTTTTTCCGCGTTTTGACGCGGTTTTGATGCGCCGCAGCACACACGGTTTCCGCTTTTAGACGCGATTTTTTAATTAATTTTTTAGGGCTTATTTTTTGAGTTTTTTCGAAATTTTAAAATTTATTCCTACACTATGAAAGGTGTAGAATTTAATGGTGAAAACCATTTTCCATAAAAATGAGTTTTAATTATTAATTTTTTTTTCTACTCATTTTTTCCATTAATTGTATGCATACATGTTTTTACCTTATTTTTCATGTTTTTTTGAAATTTTAAATTTATTTCCTAGGTTTTAATGTGCGCAGAATTTAATGGCGCAATCCAATTTTTTTAAAACTCAACGGTTCATTTTTAATACTGAAATTAGACCCATTTTTTCACTTAATTTTTTACAGCTTAATTCTCATCATTTTTTGACATTTTAAATTTATTTCCCACACTTTAAGACATTTAGAAAATGATGGTAACAACCATTTTTCCCCAAAATGAAAACTATACCTTGAATGCCGCATTTGACACGTTTTTTTTAATTAATTCATCACTTTTTCACTTAATTGTTTGCATACATGTGTGTACCTTATTTTCTATGCTTTTTTGAAATTTTAAAGTTTTTTCATACATTTAAAAGTGTGTAGAATTTAATGGTAACATCCAATTTTCTTAAAACTCAACAGTTCATTTTTGATACTGAAACTAGACACTTTTTTCAATTAATTCTTTACATGTTATTTCTCACTATTTTTTGACATTTTAAGTTTATTTCCCACACTTTAATACATGATAAAAATGATGGTAACAACCATTTTACATAAAAATCAGCGCTTGTTACTGAATACTACGTTGGACAGGTTTTTTTAATGTTTTTTGATTGATTTTTACCAACCTGATTTTAAGCATTTTTTGAAATTTTAAATTTATTTCCTACATTTACAAATTTTTAGAATTGAATGGTGAAGTCCAATTTTACTAAAAATACAAGCTTCAATTTTAATAGATGAGTGTACCCCATTTCTTGCATAATTTGTACCATATACAAAATTTATTTGAATGCAAAATGGATACAGCCATCAATTTTGAAACCTTTCAAAGTGTAGGAAATGAGCTTGAAATTCCAAAAGATAAGGATAATTGAGCATGTAAGAATGAATTTGGGAAACACGTCAAAGGCATTATTCAAGATAGAGTTTTCATTTTGATAAAAATTCATTGTTGCCATAATTTTATAAATGTTTTAAAGTGTAGGAAACAAATTTAAAATGTCAAAAAATAATGAAAATTAAGCTCTTAAAAATCAATTGAAAAATATGACTGACTAATTACAGTATCCAGAATGAACCGTTGAGTTTTATGAGAATTGAATGTTACCATTAAATTTTACACACTTTTAAATGTAGGAAACAACTTTAAAATTTCAAAAAATCATAGAAAATAAGGTACACACATGTATGCAAACAATTAAGTGAAAAAGTGATGAATTAATTAAAAAAAACGTGTCAAATGCGGCATTCAAGGTATAGTTTTCATTTTGGTGAAACATGGTTGTTACCATCATTTTCTACATGTCATAAAGTGTGGGAAATAAATTTAAAATGTCAAAAAATGATGAGAATTAAGCTGTAAAAAATTAAGTGAAAAAATGGGTCTAATTTCAGTATTAAAAATGAACCGTTGAGTTTTAAAAAAATTGGATTGCGCCATTAAATTCTGCGCACATTAAAACCTAGGAAATAAATTTAAAATTTCAAAAAAACATGAAAAATAAGGTAAAAACATGTATGCATACAATTAATGGAAAAAATGAGTAGAAAAAAAATTAATGATTAAAACTCATTTTTATGGAAAATGGTTTTCACCATTAAATTCTACACCTTTCATAGTGTAGGAATAAATTTTAAAATTTCGAAAAAACTTGAAAAATAAGCCCTAAAAAATTAATTAAAAAATTGTGTCTAAAAGCGGAAACCGCATGTGCTGCGGCGCATCAAAACCGCGTCAAAACGCAGAAAAACCGCGTTTTTTTATTAAGGCCCAAAAATAAATCAAATAAAATCAAGATGAATAAAAAATAACATGAAAAGTAAACAATAAGAGGAAATAAAATAACATAACAAAATGAGGAAACAATTGGACTGAGTGGGGATTTGTGGTGATAATATTGAAATCTTGAGTCTTGAGGATATTGAAAATTTGAAAATTGAATTCTGAAATTCAACCTTGATGGGCCTGTACCGTTTAGAACACCACACCGCTGGAGCAACGGGAGTTGTCGCGCACGGGACGGGAGTCGTCCACACAGGAGAGGCAGTTGCCGCACAAGAGATGGGAGTCGTTGCGCTCAGGACGTACTTCATTGCCAAGCTACGGACGGGAGTTGTTGCCGCTGCCCCCGCCTCCGGACTTACTTTGGCCCCGGGAGTCGTTGTGCAAAACACAGGAGTTGTTGCAGAAAAGAAGGCAGTCCTTGTGAAAACTACGGGAGTCATTGAATCCTGGACCACAGTCGTCAACCCCCCTGACCGGGCAGAGCTTGATCCAAGCCTCTTGGCCCCCGTAGGAGTCATCATCCCTGGCACCAATTCCAAAAACAAACTTTTCTCCAGAACACCAGCCACCATTGCCACCCCCGCCGTCAAACCCAAGGAAACAATCCGCCCCGTCACCGGACCCCCTGAAAGACTACCACCCCCCTGTCAAACCCAAGGCAACGGCAACAGTCAGCCCCATCACCAAAAACACAGAAAATCAAACAAACACCCAAAAAAAGAAAGAAAATTGCCAGTTTGAAGACACTGAAGATGAACAAGAATCTGATGACAATCACACAGAAACCGCTGAAGATGAGGAAACAATCACCATTGAATAATGCTTAGAGCTACTTGCAAGCCAAGCCAATAATAACACTGGCAACAACGCTGAGGAGGACAAGCCCGAGTCAGATCTAGAAGAGAAGACAACTACAACAAAGAAGAACCCAACCATTCCCCCAACACCAGCGCGAGAACCACACACAGACATTCCCACTCCTCCGGCGGCCACTTACTCCAAACCATTGATCCTTGAGCACTCCATCAAAACCTTTGCTTGGGAAAATGGTTTTGTCATAGTCAGGAAGAGGACTGTTCCCGGGAAGAGTATCACTTTCAAATGTGACAGGTAAGCTTTCAAATGTGACAGTTAAGTCCTCTTTCTGAATAGCACTCAATTCAGAGCTCATCCTCAATGGCCGTGCTTTTCCTCCATCTTATGTGTAGGGGTGGTAACCCAGCTTGAAACAAACAGAAAAATGACACACACACCAGACCAATTGTCAGTCGACTGATTGATTGCCCATTCAACACAAGGGCCCAGATCCAGATGAAGGCTGGGGAGGAATGGAATTTTACTGTGGCCAATCCCCAACATAATCATGCACCCAGCAAATATACCTCCAGGCACACCACCAACTGAAAACTCATGAAGGAGCTCTATGAGCAAATGAAGAAACTAGGTGATGCGGGATTAAAACCGGCTCAGATTCTTCAATTACTCAAGAAGACACATCCCAATCAGTCAATCTTGGCCACCATTTTTACTGTGTATTCCGCCAGAAAGAAGGCTCGGGCAGAAGATTTACGTGGACTCAGCCCTATTGTTCATCTTAATAGAACCCTCACAACGGATTTCACCTCAGCAACCATGGTAAACAATTCTGGCAAGATTCTAGGTCTTTTCTTCTGTCACAACCACTCTATTCACCTCCTCTGTCATTTCAACTACGCCTTATTCCTCAATTGCACATACAAGACAAATAAGTATTGCATGCCCCTGCTCCACATTGCCGGCGTCACTGGATCTAACAAGTCCTTCAGTGTTGCCTTTGCTTTCCTTCACAAAGAAACCAAGGAATACTACGAATGGGCTCTTCAATCTCTGCTCAACGTGTTCACTGTGAGCTTGGGTCTCTATAGTGACAGCAGGACACAAGATATGGGGGGCACTTTTATATGTATTTCTTATGAGAGGAGGGATACTAATAAAAGTAGGAGAAAGGGATGAAGAGAAAAGAAAGAGTTGCATAATATTTTTGTTCTTTATTTATTTTATGATGATGATTAAAGTTGAGCAGTCTTACTTTCCTTTAAGGATGGCTGGTTATAAGCAGAGCTAAATCTACGCCACCAAATCAAAGGAAACTGAAATGGGATATTGATACTGATAAATCAGTTCAACCACAATTTTTTAGATCAAGGATCAAGGCTCTTTAAAATGACACCTATGTATTTTTCAGTTGTACTACCATACAGGATGAGTTGAGATAATAGCAGCTATGGCTTGCTTTCTTTGATCAAGGCTTTGGGTTGAAGAAGAAAGAAAATAAGTTGAGAGAGACAGAGAAAGAGAACAAGCAGAAAGATGCTAGCTAAAAATTATAAGAAGTTACTTACTAATGACTCCAATGACACTGTGTAGTGGGAAAGGTGGGAAAAGTGGAGTACTTCTGGTTGATAAGTGATGGCTTGATCTGGGTCTGGTTGTTGTGGTTCTGTGTTGGTCTGGAGTCTGAAAATCCTCTGGAAGCTGAATCAACAAGCTCAGAGAGGATTTTCAGAGTTGGATTATGTAATATTTGTGTGTACATGTGGTAGAAGGAGCTGAAACTCAAGGTGTGTGGATACTTCATAAGTACTCTGAAATATTGCAAAGTCAGTGAAGGATTGGAGTAGTGTAAAAGTGTTCAGTGGTGACTAGGGTTAATTTTACACCAGAAATCCAATTATGAAATCAGAACAGCTAAAAGTCTCAACGTAAAAAAGATATGATGATATTTTGAATGGACGTGGGGGATTTAGGCAGTCTTTTTGTCAGCCTACGTGATGCCAAGATGTATAATCTTCTAGCTACACGTGGTGCAAAAGCAAGCAAAAAGCTTAAAGGTTTTTGGTTTTAATTCTAAAGGAATAAATTCCAATAAAATAAGGAATTTATGGCGTAAATTTAGTAGGAAAAATGGCCAATTTATATTAATAAAATTAATATAAATAAAACCAGAGGGGCCTGATGAATCAGGGGTGGTTTAATCCCTCTAAGGTATCGTGCAAAAGCAGAGGATTTAGGTACCTGGAACACTGGGGCCTGTGAACAGGTGTGGTTTAAATCCCAGGAAGAATTTAAGGGGAAAATCTCAAGAAAAGGGTTATTACTTACTAGTAATAATCCTATGGGGTCTTGAGGATCTTCAAAGTTGAAACAGGACAGTTGGGAGCGCTCAGAAAGGTTGATTTTGGGTGCTGGGTGATCACTGGGGAGTTTCTTGAGGAATCTTGAGGCTTAATAACAGCAAAAATAGTAGTAACTAGGCTAATTACAAGTGTAGGGGACTTGTAAATGGTAGGTATGTTTCTATATGGTATTGTAAAGCTGGGGAATCATTATTTGGGCGGTCAGAAGGCCCTTTAAGTACCTGTGGAAGGCCTCAGGGGTTGCTCAGGGGAGCTTAGTAGGACTTGGGGGCGCTTTTTGGCCCATTTTGGCCCACATGGTGATGTAACCAGGGCTGGAACCTTGGGGATAATGTTCCAGAAGCTTCAAGGGGCCCTGCACAAAATTATTACAGCCAAGAATGTCCCATGGGGACCTGTAGATAGGGGCTACTCTGTTACGTGGAGCAGGTTCCTTGGAAATGGGCCACAGAATATTCCAGAGGTGTCTTCTGAGGCTTGCTACACGTGTTACCCATTGGAATATGGTTACTGTAGTATTTTCATGGATATTCTAGCTTGTTCACATTCTTATTACACGTGTGGGGGCTTTGTTGTCACGTGCAATGGGGATTCTGGGGCTTTTGTGGCCCAATCCTTGGATACTGGTGCGCAGCATGACTACGTGGCGCGTGGGCTTGGAGACAGGACTCCACACAGCTCTATCTTCTAAACCGTGCACAATACTCCAATTCTGAGACTGGATTTGGAGTATATGCATTATGCATTATGCAGAGGAGTCACAGTACCCGTGATATGGGGGTACCTGTTAATTATTCATGCATGTATTACAGGGTGAAGGAGTTATAATTTGGGGTACCTTTGGCTGAGGTACCCTAGGTTAAATTGTATGCTGATTCAGAATCTGCAATAATATTTAAGGTTTTGTTTATACTTTTTAAGTTATTCATTTATTTTTATGTATTTTTTATCTTATTTACATAAGTAATATTGTTTCTTTTACTTATGTAATATTTTTACTTTATACTTAGATTTTTTATGTAATTTATTATTTTATTTGCTATGACAGGTTGTCTCTGCCATAGTAGCAAGCTGACACTTTTGGCCAGCTTGACTGGCTCTAAGGCTGACATTCACCAGCAATGATATTCCTATCCCTGAGGTAGTCTTGACCAACCACAAACAAGCTCTTATGAATGGTCTTGACTCCGTTTTCCCCACAACGACTCATCTACTGTGTACCTGGCACATCAACAAAAAATTGATTTCTAACGGTTCAAAAATGATCAAGGACAAGAAGAAAGAGGCTGAAATGATCCAACACTGGAAGAATCTCATCAATATCACTGTCAGCTATGTGTATGAAACTTTGGCTTAATTAATATAAAATCCAAGTACTATCACTGTGCTGAAGGACTCAGGTTGAAGACCAAGATTGTTCCTAGTCACCCTCAAAGTATTAAGTGGTCCAAAATTCCCACTTAAGAGGTAAAAAATTCCACACTTCTCAGTTAATGACACTTGAATAATCAAGAGAGCACTGTAGGAGACAATAACAGAATATGTTATTGTAGAGTGTTTGGAAGCAATAATTAATATTGCAAGAAGTAGTTGGCAATCACCTGAGCTGAAAGGCTACAGTCAGAGGTGGTGGTCTTGCAGAAAATAGTTTTTAAGGAATTAGTTAAGTTTTGAGTTTGGGATAACTCTTAGCTTAATAATAATTCCAGTAAGAAGGTAGGGTTGGATTGGATAAGAAGACTACTCTAAAAGTGGGTGGAGAATATTCACTGTACTCACTAAGTGTACTGGGGGTGAATATTCTGAGGAACCAATCATAGGCAGGAGAAGGCCTCCTTAAATATTCTAGAGGTCCCCTTGAGGCCCTCCTTAGAATATTCTAGAATCTCACTTTTGGTATACCCTGGTAGAATTATTCCCCTGATGTAATTGGAATAATTCCAGGTATTTAAAATAATGTATATTCTATGTCCCATGACATCATGATGCATGTTTATAGCCAATTACATCATGTGTCTCCTTAAATAGAATATTACTAGTAGAAAGTGCCACACTCTTGAGATAGCGTGGTAATTTCTTTTCTACAAGATTTAATAAATTGATTATGTTTGTAGAATAAAATTTCTAAGGTTACCCTGAATGTATATTTAACCCTAATATTTTAATATACATTAATTTTTATTCTATATTTTTGTATGTTCTATTCCTTCTGTCTCTCAAGGTTTTGAATATATAAAGTCCTTGAAGGAGTAGGAATTTGGGGATACTTCCAGTGGGCATCCCCCTTTATAATCTTATGAAGTATTGGTTTATTAAATAATATTGTTACATATTATATTACATATTGAGTATGTAATATTTAATATTATTTTGTCAGTCTTTTGGATGCTATGGAGTATCTCTAAGGCTGACAATCACGACCACCGGCGACTTCAGGGCTGCCTTTGACCGATTCGCTGGAAGTTATGGCAAGAAATTTGGCAAGTACATGCACTCAAACTGGCTCCCAGTTGCGGAAAAATATGTGAACGCCTGGACAAGGGAAGTTACCCATTTTGATCACCGGACGACATCTCAGATTGAATCTTCACACCGATTTGTCAAATCACATCTCCTCGGTCCCAATCAATCCCTCAACTCCACCATCAAAATGATCACCAACACAATTGAAACCCAAGTACATGAGATAAGCACACTCCACCGCCAGGAAGAAATTGATTCTCTCATGAATCTTGGTGCCCTGTTTGACAATTGCCTTGGCCGGATCACCCATTTTGCTCTGAGGAAGGCTGTCAGCCTCTATGCTACTAACCTGTAAGGGTTGTGCTCTGAGTGTTAACAACAAGTGAATTGAGAAGGTTTTATTCGTGGTTATATCCCTCAACCTGTAGAAGAAACAGGGAGGAGTCAGTGAGGAATGGTACTTCTACTGCTGACTCATCCAATTATTCAATTGGGCATCCGGATCAATCCTCTTGCATGGATTAATAGGCTTCCAAGGTGAGGACTTCTTCAACTCACTTGGGATAAGTCTTTTAACAACAATCCAGATGAATAAGTGTATGTACACTTAAGGACCAGAATTGTTTAACCAGGGGGATAATTCTTTATGCAATAGAGATAAGTAGAAATGCCTTGAATCTGAGCAAAGTAAATCTATTTAGGTCTAAGGTAGCTGGGTTGTAAGGTTATTGGTGGTTTGAATCACTAATAAACACGGTACAAGTGTTGGTTTGATGCTACTAGAATTTCCTGGGGGGAAAAGGTAGGAATCAGGGCTGCTTAAATATTCTACAGGAGGCTCAGGGGAAGAGGAGAGGCCCCCAGGGCACTAGGGAGCTTCTTAGCAGCTCTACAATTTCGTGTAAGGATGGGAGCTGCAGCTGTGCAGTGCTATGCATGGGTGGAAAGTCCTAGGACATGAGATCATACATGCATAATTGAGTTTTGTGGCCTATTTCTCACGTAATTGAAAAGGCTACAGTTACTGTGCAGGGGCTGTGCAATTGTAGAGTTAGTTGCATACGTGTAACTCTGCTTATGCAAGCTTGTGATCATGAGAAATGCATGTCCATCATGCATAATTCAGTCTTGCATGTAGAATTTGGGCTCCTTTCCCGTGTAGGCTGCTTTGAATTATGCAAGCTTTGAATTAGAGCACAAAAGGGTCCTGATGACGCCATCCAGGAGGGTTATGATGCAATCTGATGCCCTGATGATGTGATCAAGGATGGGTAAGCTTCAGATAAATGTATATAGCTTATTCCTCATCCATTTCACGCTTCTACTAGCTGATTCTTTATACATATGTAATTATTTATGGCTTATAAAATATGTACATAATGTATAAGAATAAACATTGTTTTAATACTTTATTATTATGATATTTCTGTGAAATCCTAGTGATATTATATGTACAATACTCAAGGGGATTTCACAGTTAATTATAAAATTATTAAATATAAATTATGAATTAAGATTAAATGTAAATACATATTTATTTATTTATTATTTTAACAACAATGTATAG